GGGGTATACGTGTGGAATATTTTTTGCAATATTCCCCTTGTGAATGGTACATAATTAATATAGTTATTTTTTAATTTAGTATACATGATTCTCGTGCAATAATAGAATAATTTACACTTCATGTATAATTACTATCTTATATATGTTATTACAACTTATTCATTATATTTTTACCATCTTTTTCAACAACATATATATTTTTTTCACATTAATTATCGCACATAAATATTTCATTTGTATCAACAAAAGTATAAATATAATCAAAATAGAGGGATGAAGCATATTTTATTTTTCATTTTTCACTGTCATTCCAAATTATTTGCATTTCTCGTGTTAGTAAATAAATTAAAATCTATTTTACTTATTAATTTTATATTTATTTTACCATAAAAGATTTTTAAAAAAAACTCAATTATTATATATTCATATTAAAACATATGTTCAAAATTCTAAGCAATCATCATATCATATGCATCCAACTAACCTCATGAGTGGTGATGCAAGTGTAATTGTAGAGCAATTCTCCACTATATACATACATATATATATATATATATATATATTTTAAATATCAATGGCCCCATCTACCATGTGATCATTTTTTGGAATGGCTTAGTTTTCTATATAAATTTATATATATATATATATAGTAGTTTGTCCCATTTTTTAGAATAATATTTTTAATATTAAGCATAATAATACAAAAAGATAAATGTCATCTTTAGAGGCGGACGAATGAATGAAGTATATACATATATAATTGTATATCCAATGTGGTTTTCACTGCAATTAAACAAACAGTGACATGTTTGGCTGCTTCTTTATAGAAAGTGATTCAAGCTGGGTCAATATTGTGATACCCCGCCAGGAAGTCCTGCAAAATCGGGCAAGTCAGGATCGTAGATTAGTTTTATATGTCAATACGAGTTTTTTTACCGCACTTCTGTTTGATTCACGTGCATTATGGGAGACATTTTAGAGATAATTATTCTCAAATTATGGTTAACTATAGAGTTATTTCAGTAGGACTCTCGAAAAAAAATATATACACATTGTTGATATGAGTAGTCTATTCAATTTATTTAATTAGTATTCAATCTCGGATGACCTGGCACCGGCTCATCCACGAGAGTTAATCTAGTAGCACATGTCTAACTTCTGTGTATTACAAATATATAGTTGTTGAATATTGTCCATATTGATTAAACATGTAGGAATTTTCTTGATTTATAAAGGTGAATGACCACTACACCTATCATCAATTAGTTTTAGGTTGGATGCTTGGATCTCTTATTAACATAGTATCAGAGTCATGGTGTCCGTATTGAGTATTATCTAAACATGTAGGAACTCCCTTACTTTAGAAAGATGAAAGGTCATTCTTGTCGTCAATTGATTTCAAATTGGATGTCTGCATCCAAACTCTCAATTATTTAATAGTAATTTTATCATTATTTTTCTTTTCTCAAGAAATTGACACGATGATAATGATAATGAATTCTCCACAAGAAGCACTTGCATATATATATATATGTATATATATATATAATATCAAAACATTTCATGGCTAAATGAAAGGGATAAATAGGACATTATTGATTATAAGTTGGTACAGCGGCGGTAGACTAATATTATTCATAATTATAAATTAAGATTAAAATTTAAAAATTTAAAAATTATTTCGATATGTTTCATAAAATTTGTTTTTTTATTTTGAAAATATAATTATACATTTTAATTATATTTTAAAATTAATAATTTATAAAAAAAATTAATTTAAATCTTAAAATATAATTATTTTTATTAATAACTTATTAATTATATTTTATCTAAATTATTGTATTTACATTAACGTGGACAATTTACCTGGAACAAAGAGAATAATAAATAGACAGACAATAGTTTATTGTAATGCAAATACAATATATGAAGTTACAACATATTATAATAATTTACACAAAATATTTTATTATTGATCTCAGCACATCTCATATTACCAAAATACATATAAATATCACATAATTTATTATTATAATATAATACGGTATATATAAACTGACAGCATGTAAGTAATAGTCCACGCAATATATGTATCATTCATTTTTAACACATTATCACAATATACAATTTATACACTGCATATTTCAAATAATTTATATATTATTACAATGTATTGATCGGAAGTCAAATAACATGGCCGCTTGACACCATAAGTTCCCCAGATAAGCCTTGATTGGAACTTAAGCTATGCATTGGTAGAAAATGGAATAAAGCATCTATGGAGCAATTATACTTACAATACGTGGCCCATATTTGTCTTGTTGTTTCTATGGTATTATTATTATTTCTAGTGTTTAATGTAAATTAGATTTCTTTTAAACAGAGTGTTTAACTTTCACATAAATTTAAATGATATTTTAATGTGATATTTTGTTAAAGAAAAATAATATATTTATAGTAATAAATAGTTGTGTTTACTTGTGAATTTTTACTTCTGATTTTACTATTCTAATTTTTTTTTTTTCAAAACATCACATCGACACATATTTATATCACATCAAACAAATATTTCAATTCAAAATTTTATTATTCAAAATCAAAATCTAAAACTAAAACCTGACAAGTAAACACAAATAAAATAATATATAGGAAGGGTAGTATTAATTTATATATCCACATAAATGCTAACCAACAAATGGTTCTAATTCTAAATATCCCCAAACAATATATATATATATATATATATATATATTAGTTTCACTTCTAAGCAACTATAAACTTGTTGGTTGCAATGATATATATATATATGCAAAGCAAAAGCAATACTTAAATAGATAATGTATATTTTCTGTGAATAAATTAAAAAGATATATATATATATTATTAATAAATTTGCACATAGTTAGGGTGTATTCATTTGGTTTTGTTTTTTTCTTGGCGAAAGTATTTTTATGTTAGATATAAAGATAATATATCGTAATATAAAAAATAATAAAATTTTATATTATATTATTATTTTTGGTAAATATCTAAAAATATATATTACATTCATTATGTAAGTGTGTATGTATACATTTTTTCTACAATATTACTCACAAAATTAAAGTTTGTTATTTTATTTATTTATTATTGTTTTTATAGACAAACTTGTTTATGGGCATTTTGTTTGTCCTTATATCTCTCATCCAAAAGGATCTTTATTTGGCTACATTCACCTAACTAGCTTTTATCTTTTAATAATAATAATAATAATAATAATAATAATAATAATAATAATAATGTGACTCAACTACTTGGGCTAAATTGGGCATACTTAGAGAGGTTAGTTTGCCAAGTTGGCCACTCAAATTGACTAATTAGCTTATCTGCTTTCTCATAAAGATTCTACTTTTTTTTATTATTTATTTACATTATTCAATATTTGTTTTGTTACTTTTGATTTGAGGGAACACTTTTTACATTTTTAGCTAGCTTTGGTACCGGTGGTGTTTGATGTATATTCTATATGCACGTGTACTTTTTGCATTTTTTTCATATATATATTTTTTAAAAAATTAATATATTTATTATTTTTATATTAATTGCATAATTTTATATATTTTATATAAAAAAAATATTTTTTCAAATTGTTTCACAAAACAAACCCATTCATTTTATTATTTTACTATATTAGGAGTATATTTATACCATAATGAATATAGAAAAAAAAAAAAAAGGTATAATTATTATTTTTATTTATACTTATTATTTTTCTATTTATTTAGACAAATGTCACCGATGGACTCCACATAATTTTAACACTCATTTTATCTTAATTTAAAATTTATATTACGAAAGGTATAAAATTTCAATTCTATCTTTATAAAAAAATATATTAAAATATTATTTTTCTTAATCTTTGTACCCAAAAATTGAATGTTTTAGAAGATGGAGAGAATATTTTGTAGGTTAATGATAGTATATTTTTTTGGGGGGGAAGCTTGGGGTTTGTTTCTTTGGATTTTTTTTTTTTTACACATTTTTCTAAAATTATTAATATATTACACATATTTATTTTTTTTTATATTTTATATATAATTTTCTATATTTCACATAAAATAAAAAATAAAAAAAAAATATCACACCTTTGATATTGTATAGTTATGAAATAGGAAAAAAATTCGCAAGGCACATATCTTTCATCTATATGCTTAAAATTTAATTTTGCATTCAAAATATTAAATCAACATTTATTTATATCACATCGTACAACTATTTTAAATCAAATTTTTTCCTATTCAAAATCAAATTTAAAATCCTAACCCTCAAACAAAAACATATCTTACAAGAATCAACTATGGGCTTGTCTATCCCCCAAAAAAAAAAAAAAAAAGAAAAACTTCACTCTTTACTTAAATTTGGGCCTTCTCTTATGTCCATTTTCTTCTAAAGATAATTTGGGGAGATTGTTTGGGAAATTGGGGGTTTGGTTAATTGATTAATACAGTAATTAAGAGGTTGATTTTATTGTTTTACAATGAAATATTATTTGATTATAATGTAATATGTTTTGATTAAAAATATATATTAAAGTATTTTAAAGTTACACAATAATAATATATTATATTCAATATGTAGATATTTTATAAAGAATTACATTATATATAATATAAATAATTAAAAATATATACATAAATTAATATAAATTAAGTTAATATAAATATAAGAAAATTTGAATTAAATGTATATATATATATATGCTTATTTATGAGAAATTGACATACGAGGTTATAATTGAGTCAACTTGAAAAATTTGAAAAATATTTAAAATAGTAGGGAACCAAAACATGATCCAATAACCACCACACACGCCCAATTTGGGTTTGGATATGACTTAAAGATGATAAGTTTTATTTATTTGAATTGATGATATATATATATATATATATAAAAGCATTTCTCAATTGCAATACATATGATAGGAGAGCAAGGCAGTGATGAATAATAATATGCACAAAACAAAAACAAAAGCAAAATAAATATATCAACATTTCCCAGTCCGCCATAGGAGCCTGGCTCTAGCTCATATACATATATATATATATATATATAAGTAGTCATTCAAATACCAATAACAAGCAAACAAAAATCTCATCTTTGCTTAGTAAAATTAAGTTTAAGTTAAGGAGAGTGCATAGAACAGCATACCATTATTGCTAATAAGCTCATCAAGAGTGAAGTTGAATTGTTTTAGATCAGCTCCCAATCGGCTCCAAATGAATCTCGGCCTTCTGCGCTTCCGGAATTCGATGTAACATCTGGAATAGTCGCATCTTCATTAATCTTCTTTTCATCTAAATCTGTGTTTCGAGAAATTGGTTGAGTTTGGTTCCTCCAAGGCCTCAATTTCGCAGATAGAGCTTCTCGAAGCTTTTTCTGGAAAAAATTACGCCGCGATCAATATATGTATGTGCACTAATGAGTTCAAGTAGTAGGAGTTAAAGAGGATAAACCTTGTAGGACTTATGTTTGTCGGTCTCTTCAGAAACTAATAAATCATCTTCCACCAAGACACAGGTATCATCATCATCATCGGACTTCGAAATTTCAAACTCCTCATCGAATCTTACTTCCATTTCAAAGTACTCTAAACATCACAGGAAGTAGGCATTGGCGATGGTAATTAACAAATATCACTGTCCAAAATAACTATAGTTACTTTTACCTTCGTAGCGGACAAATGATTTGTGGTCGATAATGTTAAAATTTGTTTGACTAATTGTGCCATCATCTTGCACTAATGTAGCTGTCATTAGAACAAAAGAATATCCATTTCAAATGCTTTTCATTTTTGGTTTTCCAGCAAAAGATTAAGGGGATGATTAAAGCTTCGTTCAATAAAACATCACAGACCTTCATCAGACGTAGCAGACGAAAAATCAGATGCATTACTCGCAACGCTCAAGCCTGAGTTAGACAATGAAGTTTCTTTCACAGATGTTCCTGCCAACAGACGAAATGCCATAAATATGAGACTGATAGGTCAGAGAGATTGAAAACTGTAATCACTGAAGGTACCAATAGGTTCTTCGGGCAAACCATGAGAGGACGAGGTGCAGTCAGCATTATCTTCTTCTTGCCTCGGAGATTCAACTGATAAAACTTTGTCAGAAGCAGAGGAAGCCATTTCAGCTTCGGCTTCTTCAGGACTGTGTTTGGGAGAGGTCTCTGAGAACTCTGTTACATTCGTTTCACTAGAGGAAAACGAACAACCCTTTCTTACATCATGCACAGCGCACAAACAACTGGCGGGATCAGATTTTCTCAAAGGGTGACGAGTCTGAGAAATTCTTTTGATGCCGACAGAACGTTTGCACGCTCCCAATTTCTTGCTTCTAGCAGAAGACAGCCCGGGGTTTGTAGTTTCAACAATAACTCGACAAGACTGAGGAAATTGAGAGATTGTATCATCATTTAAACTTTTTTCGTTCTTCACTTCTCCTCCCTGAGCCTCGTTTATGCACAACTTGGGCTTCTTATTGTTGTCAGCACGATCATCAGGGCTCCAGAGCAACTCTGGAGCAGCTACTTTTATGGGATTTATGCAAGATGTCGGAAGAAAGTCTTGCACCACATCAGAATAGAATTTCTTTACACTAACTCCGACTTTCTGCACTTGATTTTCCATGTACTTGACTGCATCCTGTATGTAAACAAACAAGTATAGCGTGTGGTTATGAGATTATATGATAAACTCATCTGCAACATCTACGGAATTTATTACAAGAATCAAAGGAAATATATATATATATATATAAAATATATACATGCTTAAACACAGGAAAGAATAAAAGTAAACTAAGACAAATGTCGATGAAAGGTAAAGAATTAGAACAAGAGCAAGTCTATTTTATATGCAAGCACTTTGCAGGTTCAAAACTTCGACATTCCCTATTTTCAATCAACCAAATGACTCTCTGCCCTCATACTTCACCATAACTATGAGAAGTTCATTTTATAGATACGAGACAATGATCCATATATCATATCGATTCTTATTTGGATACTATATTTCTGTGCATCCGCAATATTTAATCTGTATGTTTATACAGTTAATGCTCTTTAGCATCTTCTCAGATTAAGCTAAACAATTAACATCCAAATTTGCTCGATCTTATATGCATCAAGCTCTTCAGAGGCCAGCTCAGATTCTCAAGTAGGGTACAATACCTCATTCGCAGACAGAAATCATCTTCGCAAACTTTATTAAGACAAATCCATAGGCACAAAACTGGCAAGATATTTCCCGTAATTAAGAGTTTACCTCAGATGCAAGTACATCTTCAACCTCCAAACACATAGCCTCAAACCTCTCGTATAAGTTTCCCGCCCAGGCTATACCTTTAAACTCCATAGCTCTATATTCCTCCAATATTAAATGTATCCTGCCCATATTTAAAAACGAAATCAAATCTTGCTTTTGGCAACAATTGTTACATTTATATAAAATACACATTAGGGAAAAAAAGCTTGATGCACTAATCAGATTTCAGCCAAAGCATTGAAACAGAGAAGCTGTCCACAAATCATTCCCCACGAAACTCCATGGATTAGAAATTGTAGACAAAACTGATACAGGTAAAGTAAAACATGTAGTAGTATCACAAATGCAGCTCTATTTCAGGAACTCTCCGATTTCATTAAACGCAATAGAAGCTTTTATATATGTGTTCTTTATCGTGAATTCTGAAGCTGAGAGAGATCATTAAGTTATAGCTGAAAGCAATGGTTCACAATCAGAAACTCTTCAATGTAAATTAGCCTCTCATATAAAGGTTCACTGGCAGTAAAACAAGCTACATCCATTGTGGCAATACGAAAATTGCTCGATAACTCATAATTTTCATTCCAATAAGCAAATAGAATCTGAAAACCAAAATTTTCCAGCATAAAAACAACTACCCAAGCTAATTCTCCCATCAACTAAATCTCAATTAGATGTCTACCTAATAAAAATTCAACTCAAACCTACAATTCGATAATCTATGATCATTCTATCTTAGCCTTTAATTCGACCATCTATGATCATTCTTGCTTTCCTTTAAATCCTTAGTTTAGGAACAAACCACACGGCCATAAACAACTTCGAATTTTCATTTACAACAACATAAAAAAAAAAAAACCCTCTCACGAGAAATCCACATAGAGAGACAAACATTAACTCAACAAAAAACTAACAAAAGGCAATTCTTTACGAACTTTTCACATATATTGGATAAAATTCTTTGCCAACTCTACTTATATTTCGTACTCCAGAGGCAATATATAGTCAAGCAATAAGGGTTTTTCCTATGGACAACAAATTAGAGGTTTTCATACCCTTTTGACTTTACAAGACTAAAATCGAAACAAATTCCCAGAAGTACTCTAACCCCATCAAGTCGATATCCCAAAAACCCACAACTATAAAAGTTATCCCCGACAATTATGCGCTTCAAGAACACAAATTTAAATCCAGAAACAGATAAAAATTAACAGCATAAATTAAACATGAGATACTCTTATTCACACTGACTCTGCCAGAAACTACGATCATAAAGCATCAGTCCCTTCAAACAAAGAAAATACTTGAAAAGTAAAAGACGATTAAAAGTAGAAAAGCTATAACACAGACTCACTACTCACTGGAAAAGATGAAAAAGATCGGATTTAAAAATAACCACAGTAAAAAGTAAAAGAAAGGCGAAGAAAAGAAAGGGGATTTTACTATTAGAGATGAATGAAATACCAACCCCGGGAGCCGATGGCATTACAGAAATATCAAATAAATGTCGAAAGTGGCAAGGCAAATCAATTCAATTCAATTCAATTCCTATATATATTGGAGGGGTAATCTTGGCGATACAATAAATAAGAGTTGTTGAGTAGAAGAATGAAAAACATAGCAGCCGAATTCAACTAATTTCTTTAGACCTTATATATGGACACGTGTACAAGTTTAAAATCCTTTTATTCATATCCAACAACAATCACTAATCAACATTTTGAATAAAATCACATATAAAGAGGCATAATCTATAGATAATCAATGCTCCATTTGAAGTCTATCTAAAATGAGTTTTTCTACAATTTATCAATTAATGGGTTATATATAGATAAATTTTTTTTTTTTCTACACAATTCTCAATAATATTATATTATTTTATATCAAAAAATTTCTTCAAATTAAAAATTAAACAAACGAACCTATCATATATCTGTTTAATTTTTAATTGTATTCATTTTTTATAAAATACTTTAAAATAATAAAATAAATATTCTAATAAAATTTTTACAGATTTCAATAATTAATGGTAAAAACTCAAATTAAAAAATAAAATAAAATAAAAAAGTTTTAGGTATGCAGCCTCTTGTTTTTCTTTCATTTAGTTGAGTTATTTTTGTTTTTTCGCTTTTATAAGATTTTTTAATATTAAATTCAATTTCTTTAAAAAAAAATCAAAGCAAATATATATATTTATATTATTTAAAAGTTAATTATATATTCAACATATTATACCAAATAACTATTCAAATTTAAAATATTACTTTCTTTGCCTAATTAAAAAAATATATTTATTATTTTTGTTTTTTCACTCAAAAATATTTTTTTTATTATAGTAAAACTAATCATATTCATACAAAAATATTAAATACCTTTTAATTTTTACATAAATTACCAATTTATTACTCATTCCAATCCATAAGTAAATATTCACTTACTTTTTATAGAAAGTTTTTATGTATATTAGTATTATATTGATATGTAATATAAATAAAGTAGAAATGATTAAAAAAATTTTATTAATATTACGTAATATAAAAGTAATAATATTTGTGTAAAATATTGTAAATTGTAAAGGTATTTGTAGTGTTATATAGACAGTACAGTTGCTAAACATATGAAATTATACTTTATTATGAGAAGGACCAAAATAGAAAAATAGATTGTTTATTAAGGAACGAAATGAGTATTTACATATACAGTTAATTTATACATAATATATAAAAAGTAAAAAAATCAAAATTGTTTTATATATTTCTACTAGTTAATAAAATACATAGAATTATTTTCTAATCTAACATAAAATCAGAATGATCTTTTTTAATTGAAATGGAGGAAGTAGGATTCAAAAATCTAAATGTAAATTTCGAAAGCCTAAAAAACACATGTTAGATAGATTCTTCGTTAATGCTATTAGTTGTTTGATGGAAACTTTATTTAAAGTGGGTTTTTGGTATGTAATTATTAAATATTTAGTTTCTTTAATTTTGTTTTAATTGAAACCATTTTTTATTATTTTCCAAATTAAAAGTACATAATATACTCTGAAAACATAATATATTCATTCCTATAGAGACGATAACACCAAATAAGGGAACTATTTATTTAGAGCCTATTAACCTAGTCAAAGAGAATAATCCAATTCATGGCAAATCAAATTAAAATGGTTTATGGGATATCAAGCTGATTATATCATAAAATCTAAGGATATGATTTAGATCTTATATTTTAGATTTTAGAGATATGATTTGAATATTATTGTCAAAAGCTTAGCTATAAATATCCATGTATTCTCACTTGCGTACTTTATAATAAAACGTGGCTTGGCAACGCCCCGAATTTTCTTTTGTTCTTATGTTATTTTGTCTTTGTTGTCTCATCTTGATTTTCTAAAAATTTCTTTAACAACGGTGAATAAAAAGACAATAAAAGATGCAAATTGTTACGAAGGAGAGAAATGCAAGTAAATTAAGGCAAATGAAATGCAGACGTCACAAAAATAATAAATCTAACTTAAACTTAAATAGAGTTCCAAAAAGGGGAAGAAGGCAGCCGGGAGGAGCAGGCAGATTCATCCCAAGAACAAAACATTTTCTTTCATTTTTCATCTACCATGTCCATGTCATTTCTTATCCACTTATCCTATTGTCTTTGCAATGGATATGGATCTTCTTCCTAAAATCATTGCATACTACATTAAAGTTGCATCCGAGTTACCAGAAAACCGAAGAATCCAAGACTGGACTAACCGGGGATACACATTTTCTACATCCGACCAATCTCTGACCGTAACTTGCAAATTCATAAACAAGTTTACCTGCAATTCCTTCCTATTGTTACATTAACATTACTTCGGCACAGGCAGATCACTTCTCTTCTCCGACTTCAGCGAAGCCACCAGCCTTTCCAGCCGCCCAATCCGCTGTTCCAATCGCTCCACCAATCCGGTGTCAGCCGTGCTGCTGCTCTCCACCGGACTCGGGCAATTGCCATCCATCATCTTCATCTTCCTCACATCCCCTGCTTCTTCTCCGGCGTCTACTCTTGTCGATGCACCAGGCTCAGCCACATCCTCATCTCTGAAAGATGAGTGGTCCTTCTTGTGCATTTCATCGTCCCGGCGGTGGCTGCAGTTTCCGGACACTTGGTCAGAAGCTTTTTCCGATTCAGTCATGCTCGAATGGGGCCCTTTAGACTCATTCCGCTTCTTCAAAGCAGAGCCACCGGGAGAAACCGGGGTGTAATAATCCACAATCTTTGCATTGGATCCGTCAAGAATCTTCCTTTTCACGCCCTTGGAGATACCACTCAAGCCCGACTTGGGGGATCGAGCAGCCCCTGGCGAAGATAAAGCAGGGCTTTGCTTAAAGACGATTCCCTTCCCCTTCGGTGGGAATCCTGGCGGCGGAGGAAAGTCGTCATCCTCAAATTTTACACCGACGACAGTTACGTTCTTGGTTTCCTGTACATTCTGACCCTCCAAGGCATCATTTACATGGTCCTTTTTCAATCCCCGATGCAGTTTTTTCCACCAATCCGCGTAGCGAATGGTGCATTGTGGCACGGATAGGTTCCCGGGTATATAAACCTCGGAGTCTTTAACCGGTCGAGTGAAATCGGCCCATGCAATGTTTACGTTGACATTTACTCGGGGGACATGCCCCGGGATGTCCTGATCGAGTCCAAATTGCATCGCCACGCGGTGTGGCAGATACTGCTTTATCGAATTTGGGTCGGAGCTGAGTCCGACGAGCTCGCTGGCCCTCAAGCAGCGGATAAAACCTTCTAAATCTTCATCTTCATCTACGTCTGAATCAACAACAGCCCAATATCCACAATCCTGGTAGAGCTTCTCAGGGAAGCCATTTCCCTTGTACGGACGCCACACAAACTCTGCTCCAGCTGCATCTATGGCGGACAATAAATTCTCAGTTTTCACTTTCTTCAAACCACCCCATCGACACATTCTCGGCTTGTTCAGCCCAACCGGCGTCGGGCTTAGAGTGGGGAATCTCTCCCAAATCCAGATCTGGACAAGCGCCAATGGAGCCGAAACTGCAATATTAACAGCGTCGCCATTTTTCGCCTCTGGTTTTCGAGAAAAATTGACGCCGGCTTTCAGCAAGCTCAAGGACCTGTAGATTCCGGCGAGAACCGCCGGCGCGAGAGCTATTTTAGCCCCTCGACCCAAGCGAACGGCGATGGACAGCACATCTCCATTAACGGTGCCTGAAGCTATGGGGAAGACGAATCTCGAAAGCCAATACACGAGAAATGCTTCGTGTTCGATTTCGCTCTGGCTCCCCATGAATTTCTCCATCCATGGCCCCACCATAGGCTTCTTCGACTTGCATCTAGAAATCACCGACCGCGCTTTGCGCAATTTCTTCTCGATTTCCCCTACTTCGCCCCTTTCGGAAGCGCTCAGAGCCCTCTCCCCAAACACAGAGTATCCACCGAGCACCGCCATGTCCTCGAGCGTCAGAGTAGCTTCTCCCCAGGGGAAAACGAAGGAGTTGGTTGTGTCGCACCATTTTTCAAGGAAACCGAAGAGGAGATCCTTGCTTCGGTGTATGGTGATTGTGGAGCTCATTATAGCGTCGAGAATCCCCGCGCTCTCCCACGTTGATCGATGCGAGGAGCTCATGTCCTCCACCCATTTCTTCCACTTCTTCGGCGTGATTTTCCACCCGACGAAAGTGGACTTCAGAGGCGATTTTTCCGCTCCGGTGGTAGATGGAACCAGAGAAGGGGCGGCGGCCGAGGCTTCCGGTGAGGCCACTGAGGGTTTGAGAAAATGAGCGAGTCTGTGAGAGGGGAGACCAGTGATCGGAGAAATTAACGACTCCTTGCGATGTTCCATGATGAAATCGTCCGCCATTAGAGGGTGTGGGAGTGGGAGCTGAATGGTAAAGATCAACGATGGAGAGAATAATTTTTTTCTTTTTTTATATTATATTTAAACATTATTTTTATATTTAAAATATTATATTTAAATATTTAAACGATGAAAATTAAATATTTCTTACAATATTTTTGTTTACTATTTTTTTTTTTCAAAATAATAATTTCATTTTCATAAATAATTATATGACTGTAAAACTACTATTATACTGTTGCTACTATGTATCAACTATTAATAATATCAATATTTTTAAATCTCCTGTCAAACACACCGCGGGAGGGAGTATTTAACTTAATATATTTTGAAAAGAAAAATAAAATAAATAGTAGTAAAAATTACAGCTAATAAAATCAAAATCTCAGTAAAAAAGATAGAATCCAATAATTATCCGTCCATATACAAAATTACAAGTAATTAGTTAATAGTTCTGTACCAAAAATAATACTTCATTCATCTCATTTATTATGTCCATTTTTCCATTTTTTTTGTTAGAATTCTGTCACTTTTTAGAAAAACAAAATTAAAAATTTTAATTTTATTTTAAATTTTTAATTTATAACTTTTTATTTAATTTTAATTAAATAAATTAGTTATTTAATCGTAATATAAAATTATTTTTATTATAAAATAATTATTTTAACTAATACATTGTTAATCATTTACTAATTATAACACTCTTAAATTCATGTGTCTACAATAAAAGAGACACAATAACAACTTAATAATTATCTTCGAATACCCAATATTTACCATTAATAAATTAACAATTCAGTATCAATATTCAAATAACAACCTAATAAATTATATGTTAACATCCAAAATTTACAGGTAATAAATCAATAACTCAATACCAAATTTCAAATAACAACCTAATAATCATCTGTCAGCATCCAAAATATACTCATATCAAAATTCAAATAACAATCTAATGAGTATCTGTCAACATCCAAAATTTACGGGTAATAAATCAACAACTTGGTACCAAAATTCAAATAACAACCTAATAATTATCTGTCAACATTCAAAATATTCAGTACCAAAATTTGCGGGTAATAAATTAACAACTCAATACCAAATAAAAAATAACAAACCAATAATCATGTGTTAGACTTGCAAAATTTACAGCTAATAAACTAACAAGTCAATACCAAATATCAAGTAACAACCCAATGGTTATTTGTTCAACTTACAAAATTTACAGCTATTAAATTAAAAATCAAGTAACAACCCAATAATTATTTGTCAATGCCCAAATTTTACACCTATTATGTTAACAGCTTTAACAAGTCAATACTTTTTTTGTCAATGTCCGAAACTTACGACTAATAAATTATCAGATTAATATCAAAAATCACGTAACAATCAATTATCTATCTGTTTCTAAAAATTACAAGTTCATAAATTAACAGTTAATACAAAATAATAAGTAACAATTCAATAATTATCTTCAATGCTCAAATCTTACTGCAGATGAATTAACAATATCAAAAATCAAGTAACAATTCAATAATTATCTATCAATATTCAAAATTAAATTAACAGTTCAATAGAAATAATCAAGTACAATTCAATAATTATCTATCAATTTTTAAAATTTACTATTAATAAACTAACCGTTAACACCAAAGAGCAAATAACACCCTAATAAAGATATTATTAGTAGTAAACCTTGGTATTAGTATTTAGTTGATATTCGTAGGTAGTTCAAATTGCACATAACCAAACTGATTGGATTTGTGAATCCAAGATCACAATCAAAGAAAATCCAAATACAAATTATTCATCATTATGGTTTAAGGCCCATATCAAATATGATTGATCCTCTCAATGAGAGAACGCAATTTGTAACAACATAATATTTTTTCGGTGGGTGGGTAGTAGTAAAAAAGATTTGGGGGAAATTTTAATTTGTTAGATTATCTTCTTGATGGATTCTTTGAAGTGATTAGTTAATGTAAAAAAACAGTGGGGGTATATGTGAGAGGGTGTGATCATTGGCTAGTTGGAGAACTCATGTGAGGTTAGATTAACGTTTATTGAGAGATGATTGATACAATTCACTTATAAGCTTAGCTTGTTCTTGAATTGGTGAAATCGTGTCTTGGTTGGAACCCCTCATATGTAGATCTTGTATGACCGAATTGGATTAATAATTTTGTGTTTGCATATTTCCATATTATTTGATCTGCTTATGAACTTTTTGCGATTGAATCTGATTGTGTAAATTTGTCTGTATTCATTATTTTTTGGGTTGTTTACTATTGTTCATTTGACAAATTTAGGACTAACAGATCTATCGATATCCAAAATTTAACGCTAATATATTAAAAGTGTGGTACCAAAAATAAGTAACAACTCAATCATTATCTATTAATTTCTAAATATTACAAGTTAACTAATTAACAACTAGTATGTAACAACTCAATAATTTTCGACCAATGCTCAAAATTGACAGCCGATAAATTAACGGCTCGGTACCAAAAATCAAATAACAACCAATAATTATTTGTCAATGTCCAAAATTACAACTACTAAATTAACAGTACACTGTCAAAATTTATATAATAACTCCATAATTATGTATTAATTTTTAAAAGTTACTGTTAAATTATTTACAGCTTGTACCAAAGAACAACTAACATCTTAATAATTATCGATCAATGTCTAAAATTTATAGCAAATAAACTAATTGTTTATTACCAAAATTCAAGTAACAATCCAATAATTATACGTCAATGTCCAAAATTTATAGTTAATAAAACAGTTCAGTACCAAAATAAAGCTAAGTAACAATCCAATAATTATTTGTCAACATATAACACTTACGACTTATAAATTAATAACTTAGGACCAAAAATCAAATAACAATCCAGTAATTATATTTTAATGGCCAAATTATTGTTTATAAATTAGGGTTCTTTTTGTAAAAATATATTTTCTCAAAAATACATTAAAAATATATATATACTCATTATTTCTAGATGATTTATATAATTTCTTATACTATACATAATATATATATATATATTCAAACTATTTCACTACATAAATACACTCTAAGTGATCATCTGTAGATAAATTTACAGCTGAATTCCCAAAATTATTCATCCCTAAGCAAATTAACAAGATTATCTAAAATTACACAATAACTAATCCACGCATTAGTGCACCATACATAGTAGCAGATAAATTTTGTCATGTTCAACAGGAGTACTGTATGGTGTGTTTGTTTGGGGATTGAATTTTAAATACATTATTCATCTTTTTTTTTTCTTAAAAAATATCAAATTAAATACTTAATTTTTATTTTTTTATATTATAATAAAAATCAATTTTGCATTCAAAACATCACATCGAGACAATAATTAATTTTTTTAAAAAAATTGAAGGAATATTTTGTTTAATTTATATTTCTTTGCAATAAAGAAAATCTTGGCAACAATAATCCTATAATTTACGGACAATGCATGTCTTTCGATCTTTGATCAATATTCATATATCGTCCGTGTAAACTGGGAGAACAAGAATTTTGCCAATACGAATAACGACAATAAATAAACTATAAATTTATATAAGAACTCACAAATATTGGGGTTTCGATTTTAAGTCGGGATTTGAATAATAAAAGTTTTGAATTTGAATAATTATATGATGTGATATAAATAGGGGTTGATATGATGTTTTGAATGTAAAATTGATTTTTAGTATAATATAAAAAATAAAAAATAGGTGTTTGATTTGATTTTTTTTTTAAAGAAAAAAATAGTAATGCTTTGAAAAACGCATGATTTAGATTAATAGTGTATTTGGGGGAAAATCCCCCAAACAAACACAAGCTTAAATATAATCCCCCAACATGTTGTATTGAAGAAAATCTTATTCTTTGTCGGTTATTAACTTCAGCCAAAATTTAACCAAAACGTATTTGAAAAATAATATTTATGAAATTTCATGTTATAAAAAAAATAAAATAAAATATTATTTCTATCATATTAATATCCAATTAAATGTACATTTACTTACATGTACTTGTTAAGATTGTCATAAAACAATACTTATTCCTAATTCCCTAAAATATGATTGAAAAATAAATTTTACTCTATTAATTTTTTTAGTCAGCAAAAATAAATAAATGCAAAATAAAAGCAGATATTATCTATTCATACTTTAAAATGTGTAATATATAAGAGCATGTTATGTATTGTTAGTTTATATATTATATTTGCATTATGATACTATAAATAATGTGTTATTTATAATATTGTGTGTTCTCTTTTAACATACGATGTACTATAATCATTGTCATATTACCGACCTTATGCATAGAATAATTTTTGTAATAACATTAATTATAAAAGTAAAGAGTAAAATAAAAATATTAAAAATCTTTATTTTGCATGGGTGATAGTTACTATATTGAGATATCAAATACAACAGAGACTAGACTGACAATATATAATACTCCCTCCTTTGTGCCCTGCACTACAATTGATATTATTTCTATTTTTGTTTGTCCGTAACACTTAACATATTTCTATTTTTGATAAAAATTATTAAATTAAAATATATTTAACAAATATAAATCAAACTTAATTTATTACATAACATATAAGATCATAAATGAGGTAGGACACATTCAAAACCCATTTATTTATATCTTTCTCCTCGAAACAATTAATATTTGTATTTATATTTAAAACTATACATCCTTTATAAAAATTGATTTATATAAATTATAAATAAATAAAAATATCTTGTATTATATAAAATTTTATTCTCTACAAAAATAACATTCATATTGCATATATTTTTTAATTTCTATATAATTTTTAAATATTTAAACATATATTATACCTAAGGGTGTGTTCTTTTTGGGGATTTCTCTAGATTTTTACAATTTATCCAATTTTTTTCTTCCAAAAATATCAAATCAAACACCTATTTTTTATTTTTTATATTATACTAAAAATCAATTTTACATTTAAAACATTACATCAACAACTGTTTATATCACATCAA